CCTCCTCCCCGCTCGCCGCCCTCCTCGCCGCCTCCAAGGCCGCCTCCAAGTCCTACAAGGCGGCGCGCGCGCTCGACCCGGCCGCGCGCCTCCCCTCGCTGCCCTCCTCCAAGCGCGTCAAGGCCGCCTTCGCCGCCGCCTCCCTCCTCCGCCTCGCCCCGACCCTGCTCCTCCTCCCCGCCGCCGCCTCCTCGCCCTCCCCCACCGCCCTCTTCGCGCTCGCGCTGCTCAAGTCGGGCTACAAGCTCTCCAAGAACTCCGCCAAGGTCGTCGAGGGCTTCCTCGGCCTCCAGGTCCACAAGGGCTTCCGCAACGGCGTCGACGCGCTCGGGGTCGTCGTCAAGGTCGCCGTCATCGCCTCCGAGGTCGCCGTCTGGGTCGGCGGCCGCTTCTGGGGCGCCGACGACGATGGCCGCGGCCGCTCCGTGCGCTTCCTTGGCCTCACCAGGACGACTACCTTGGTCCTGGCCGGGTCCGCAAAATCTGAAGCCCAGGTTGTGCTCTTCGATCCCGGAACTGTCGTCGAGATGGAGGACGAGGGGTGCTGGCTGGAGGAGGACCCAGACCCATCCCTGTTGCTCTGCCTCGCGGTGCCTCTGCCTGCCTGAGATGGCCAAATTAGTGGGTTAGTTGCAATTAGCACACAGCTGTGTTGTACAGTTGCTTATATCATCAGATGTTGTATGTAGTCACGTACTCTTTTCAATTTTGATCCAATGTTTGCTTCCTAGCTCATGTGTGTCAGTTTTTCAGTTAGTTGCGACTGCTTGCTTGTGCATCACCCCTCAATCAACAAGTGAAGTAAATAAAAGTGGTGGTTTATGTGCACTCCTTGTCTCCACCATATACCTTTTCAGTTAGCTGTTACTTTTCTGGTTTTATATTGAGTTTTGGAATTTGGTATTGATGATAGTTTTGCTGATATAGAGAATTCCAATATGGAAATGCTTCCACCTTCCAGTTTCACTTCTGGAGGGGAGGGTGTTTCCGTTTAACTTGAGATATTTAAATTATTTATGGTCAGGTTGGAACTTTTGCTGGAACCTTAGAGGCAGCGTTTCAGTTTCAGAAAGAATGAAAAATTAATGTATAAATTAGGATTTTCTCTGTCAACCAACTGCCGATTTTCTATATTGTGGGTTATTGTTGGATAACTTGAATTCAAGCTGAAACCCATCAATTGAAATGTTTATGTTTTGTTGTCAAGAAGACAAGAACCTATCACCACACTCTTAGCGTTACTGAGTACATGATGTAAAAAATAGTGCCCATTGCTGTGTCTACTTCACCTTTCAGTTCTACTACAACCTTTTTTTTAAGTACGGCATGTATCTGAAATGAATCATAAGTTTATAACTGCAATATTTGTTATTTCTTTATATCTTGGGCCTGTACAATGGGCCTGGTGTAGATAGGCTTTTGGGTTCTCTCTTGTAACCGACCCGATCTACAAGGGTTTGGCCTAGAATAGTTCAGAATCCTCTAGGAGGATCTCCTCTGCCCCGTTTGTTTTTCTCATTTTCTGCGGTGCTCTTGATGGATGGGCAATTATTTTTAAGATGGGGTCGCTCTCTTTTTGCCACTAACTAAAATTTGGAGTTCTTGGCCTAATTGGTTATAAGCCCATTTTGCCTTTTGCTTATAATTCAAATGAATCCAACCGCATTATGTGAGTCCTGCATTTCTGCTATCCAATGGTGATGTGCATAAGCTTTCACATACAAATGGTCTGTGATGCACTAATTGCTTATGACCAGCAACATGATCATGTTAACAAATGTATTGTGCATTTCCAGTATTTGATACATATATGATTATACTTGAAATGGCAGAAGTTTCTGAGCTGCAACTCTCATTTTAATTACTCCTATATCGTACTGGATTCTAATTTGTCTATCTTCTTGACATACGGCCAGATGTTACGGATTCTCTGTACTGGAGTGCTATTCAGATTTTTTAGATTATCCAAAGTTGCCTTACTTCCACGCCTTGTTCTCCCGTGAATACTGTTATTATGTACACCAAGTGGGGAGACCTTAGAATGGCGAATAGTTTGGGTAACTCTTGATACTGTTTATTATGACAAGGACACAATTCTATTTTTACAAATCACTGCTCTGGAGACTCTAACTAACACACTCACTGTTAAGAACGGCAAAAGGCGAGAACAGATTGATACAATACACCAAGTCTACAATAACTTGAACTAAAAGCACTTCTCCTGTGACAGAACCTGTAAAGCTGTAGCCTTATTTTACTAGGATCAAGGGGAAACTATGGATTATGGTTGCATAACTGAAAGCAGAACACAGACTTCAGTTTGTGCAGGTGTGGTAGTCATATCCATGATTCAATGGTACAATTATACTTATAGCTGTAGTTGTTTATCCCACTCAAATGTGCCAGAATATCGGACGAGTCAAGCATGTTTTCTCCATCTGCACCCGCCTGAGAAAATACAAGCATGAACCTTAGTTTAGAAAATTACACGATTGCATTATCTTTTATTACTGAATGCATGGAGCAATGTAAAAGATGACTTGATGAGTACATGACCATATTTTATGCGTGATCATTAAATAAACTGGGCTGTTTCTGGTAAGATAAGACAAGTGTAATATACTAGAAGACTTACAATCTGTCCGTACTGTTCATGATTTTGGGAGCTTGATCTTGTTGCTTCACAAAGTTCATCGTTCTTTGCAAACCTTCCACGGACCCGGGGCCTGCTATCTGCTAAAGTTTTTCTGCAAGCATACTGCATTTTGTTGCGTGTCATCAGAATTGAATTGGTAAGATGCCTATGCAAGCAGTGCTTTGTCTGAGATGCTCCATATTACCTTTATTTTCTTGCTGAAGTTCCTCTCATTCCTTTTCTTTATGTACCTGTGGATCTTTTCCTTCCTCTGTTCAGCTGAAAGACGCACAACTTTGAAGGTGGAATCTTCTAAGCCTGAGGTTTCTGTTGGAGGTAATGTTGGTGGGCTTCCGTTGCATCCATTTATCAGGTCTTGGTTGTTCCCCCCATTCTGTTTAGAGGTCAGAGAGATTTCAAATATCATTTGTAAGCTAATTTTTTAGTTAAACACTTTTCTTTTACCAGCGCTACATGGAAGTTTGGTACTATCGTAGTTAAGCAGTATGGTATTAAATTGATTGTTAGGTTCCAGATGTTACCTGCATCTCTGCAGTGTTGCTGTAAGCCCCCTTCATGGAATCTGTGTCGCTATATGTTCTGGTCAGTCCTTCACCTTCCATCATCCTCTGATACTCACCGATGTCACTCATATCTAACACCACCATACCATTGCTATTAGCACTATTACCATTGAAGAATCCTACTTTTGATGCCTCTGTGTTGTAACTCGGGATCATTGCTCCTGTTTGCGGATACAGGGCACCATCCAGGCTCATGTACCCTCTGGCTAGTGCCGCCGTGAGGCACTCTTCATCACACCCTGGAGCAAGAGGCATAGAGATAGGTGCAGTGCTGCTCATTTGCATTGCCAGCAAGGGATCAGAACTCTGGGGAAGCCGTGATTGGCCGAATTGCTCTATGCTGGCCTCTCCGGCCGCAGCTTGATAGTATCCTGGTGCTGCAAGTGTCTCGTTGATCGGGGGAATGAGCTCGGTTTCAGGGCACGCGTTTTGCTCTTCCTCGAGTAGGGCTGAGAGAGTAGAGTCAAAGCAGGGTAACGGGGAGAAGGGCATTTCTGGGATGTCATCGCTGTAGCTGCAGAGAGGAGGGGTGGCAGTGGAGGAGGATGAAACATCCTCAGAGGAGGCAGCAAACGGGCCGGAGGTAGAGGTCACTGCAGCAAGGAGGTTATCACCCAGGCCGTCATCACAGAAATCAAGTATGTGAGCAGCTATGGGGCTTGAGATCCCCTCCTGTAAATTTCAAAGGTGAAAAAACATGTGAGTACATTTTACCACACAACTTCTATTCTAATGAGAAATATTGTGTTAACATCATTCCGTATCAGTAAAGTCATGTATGTTCTTTGAGTACTAAGGCTGATAAGCATGCATGACGTTATGGCGTAAATCTGTTTATGTAGTTAACCGAGAAAGCAGTACTTTTTGTAAAATAATGAAAAGAATAAAGAGAGGATCAAAGACTATCATATATGCCCATCTGCCCTCTTCCGGATATAGTTACTGTTCTGTTTGAAGAGAAATCATCAAAGAATATTGTGAGCAAAAGCAACTCAAAAGTGTGGACATAAAAAGGTTGTGAAGATTAAGATGAAATTTTATTCTAAAAAAAAGAATAAGAAGGAAGATCTAAGAAACAAAAACACTGGGATTTTGGTAATTATAGTCAGGTACTTCCTCAGGTCCAGAATTAAAAGATTTTATCTCGATTTGGTGCTTTTGAATGCTGATTTCTGCATTGAAAGATTCCACCTAAGATTATTGTATCGTACATGCAGTTAGTACCAATGTCCATTGCAGTTATCACCCAAGGAACAAGCATCGACAAGGTACCAGGAAGATGACATCATGAAACATTTTCAGAGCAATTGAAAATGCTTGGTTTTTGTCCCCAAGCATGTTTCTACATACGAAAAAGAATTAAGCAAGATCTGTGTCTGAGAATCAATTACGGTGATGCAATCGTCGTCGGGGAGCATAGCCGGTCCTCAACAGCGACGACCGGATTGTCTCGGCGCTGCAGCTTGTGGGAGCAAATTCCTTGGAACTGTTCTGTTGGTTCTCCAGAAGAGAAATGGTTCCGGACGGAGCCGTGAAAGATCGAATCGCAATACGGCGAGGAAGATGGGTTATGACCTTGCGGGAAGAGGAGGGGAGGGGGGCTGGAAAGAAGAAGCCTGTTTCTCCATGCAGATGCAAAGATGACCTTTTATAGGGTGGCGTCCATGCAAGTCAGACGCCGGCAATTTCTGCGCTACAGATGCTATTCTTGCGCGGGGTGTGTTATTTCTGCATCAACGGCTGGGATGGTAATATGGTTGTCTCTGATCATTTGACGGATTTCGCATGGCGGGTTTCTGATATTAGCCATTTGACCGTACCACTCTGACCCTTGCCATGCATGCAAACCTATGTTTATAAAATTTGGACGAGATACATGCATATATATTTATATATACTTAAAATAATTGGCTTTGTACAATCTGTTATCTCGGAGATTTTACTTTATGACTGATAAATGATATTTTATTGACATTTGCAGATGAAATAGAAGCGTGATCGCTTAATCCTGTGATTATATGGATTGATCTGGAAGTATCCTATTCCGTTGGTTGTGTCATGCACGGACGGATGAGAGATATATACCGGTGAACAAAGTGCAAGATATGCTCTGGACGTCCTGTCTATGCATAGTGGGAGCGTAATTTGGCTTCTGTTCTGTCTGACATGTCATCGATTATAGATGTGCACCTACTGCTTGGACTGTCGAAACTTTGGAAGAGGCTTTACCAGGCAAGAAAAGGACGTCAAGTCATGGCTAGAGCTGTGGGTGCCTAAAGAAAGAACTTACGCCCATGTTTCCAATCTGGAATGCAGAATCTTCAGCAAGCGAATTAATGGTACTATGGCAATTCTCGAGGTACGTACGTTTGATTGCTTTGTTCTTAAACAAGCATCAGAATTTTCAAGTAGTGGATAAATGAAATCAAGAAGCCAAACAAGCGTTTCATCTTTCATGGTAGTATATAATGCGCTCAATTTCAGTCTATCAAGTTTTTGCTGAAGACACGTTACGTTGGTGATGCAAAAATTTATACAAAGCAAGCAAGGCAAGCGAGATGGATCATCCATCTCCTTGCATATATATAGAAGCATGCAGCGGATCGAACTAAACCGAGAGCAAATTAAGGGCGAAGAGGGAGGTTTGTGTACTTACAATGCGTAGCTGCTCGTCTGGCTGCGGCGCGTCCTCTTGGAAGAACATCTTCATCATTTGTGCGCTCAAGCTCTGAGCTTGCTAGCTATGAAGGGGCTGGAGATGTGGAAGTTTATCGGTGAATTGAAGATAGCTAGGGAAGTGAGAGGTGGCTGTTGCGTATATATAGCCGAGCCGAGGGCATAAGGAGGAAGAAGAAGAAGGGTCAAAAGGGAGCCGCCTAGGTACGTGCTAGGTAGCTAGCTAACCATGGCGACGGAGCCGGCCCCGTGATTTATAGGGGAACCGCCTCCCATATTTGGTCGGGCCAACGCAACGGCTACAGCTGATATCATTAGCTAATAGCTAGCGGAACTGAATTAACCATCGGAGGTTACTAGGTGAGCAATAGCTAAACCCTGTCTCGATCATAAATAGGCCCTGAGCTCCACGGAACTCGAACCTTTTTTGCACTGGCAATGATTTGCGTGCGTGATGGGTGCGTGCAACCTTTAGCGTTCAATGATTATCTATCAGGATGTTAATCTATGGAGAATAATAGTAACCCCGTCTCATAATATAAGACATTTTTGTAGTTCAGACACGTCTTAGTGTTAGGTACATTCGTACGTATCTAGACAAATTTAAAACAAGTAATTTGGGACAGAGTTAAGATATATGATACTACTATCTGTGTAAACAAATATAAGACGTCTTATATATATATATATAGATCACCAAAGAGGGAGTAATAATCTGGATGATGGTAGGTAGGTAACGGCCGGGCGCAGTGAGTTTGAGTCTGCGTTGATTATAACTGTTGTGATTACGCGTGACGGAGGGCGGGGAAATGAGGTTAGCGGGTCGACAATGTAGTTCTCGCCGAATAGAATCCGGTCGAGTGGCTGTCCCCTTTGGGTCACCTCATGTCAGCCTACCCATAGCCGTCTACCTACGTAGCTACTGTAAGCTGTAGCTCGACATATGTATCTTGAGCCTCAAGGATCGACGAGCCCTATGCCTAGCTAGGCAGCTTTCCTTTCACCGCCGGCCGCTTTACTTCTTGTACCCACACCCGGCCACGGCCAGAGTTGGTTAAAGGCGACCGTGTAAAACCTAGATAGAGATCGTACGGGGGCGTCTGTAGCGTGAGGAGATTTACGTACCGGATCCCAACATATCGGGCATCCATCCCGATGGCGTGACAGGTGATTCCGATCGATCAAGATCTCGCGTCGGGTCGGGGGCCGGACGGAGATCTTCCATCTCATTCTCACCACTGCACTGCACACCCAGTACAACCCAGAGCGAGCGTCCAACTTGGTTGGGTTTGGCTCAGCGCACAAATTCTCAGCCGCCAACACCGGCAGTGGTTGGATGGTTAGAGGGACAGTGGTATCCCCAGCCCATTAGGGTTCAAGTCTTGGCGCTCGCATTTATTCCTCGATTTATTTCAGGATTTTCGGTGATGTGCATTCCTCGATTTGTACTGTGTTAAAAAAAACACCGGCAGTTACTTACGTGCCAATCTCGATCCAACGGCAGACAAGTAGGGTGCATTGTTCGACCTCGATCGTGGTATAGACTAGGTACTGGCACTACTAGTGTACTGTACTATGTATTGGCGTGCAACGGCTGGTCGACAGGTGTCGCCGCACAGACAGGGGTTGGATTCTGCTGCACGATCGTCTTGCGTTGCGTTGCGTTCCGTATCACCGAATTTCTCTACTTGGAGCCTAGACACGGCCACGGGTATCTAACTAAAAACGACGGCCGCCTGTTCCTGTTTGTCTGCGCTACAGTACACACCCCGGACACCACAGCAGCTCTGCATGGTCAACAGCTAGCTAGCTAGCCACCCTCGTGATCATGATCGAATAAAATGGGGCAACAATGGTTACCGGTGGCAAGTACGCGCCGTCCTCTCCTCTTTTTTTTTTTTTTCTTTTCTGGTTGCGAATGCAGTACGTGCCGTCCTTAGATGCCTTTTTTTACATGATAATACGTGTCTTGTTTATATAACCACAACGGCAGCCATCAAAGAAAAATAACGGATTACCTTTTCATCCAAGCTCGCCGCGGTTTCATCGCTAATATGCGACTTTTCAGACCTCCAAAGTGGCTTACTAAAGGCAAATCCATTGCTGTTAAAAGAATATGGTTGGGGCAGCACCCTGGACACGCCATCAAACTACATATCTGACACCCACGATTAGTGAAGACGTCAGAGGAGGAAGCCATACCTGCCAGCTGCTAACCATGAACTCAGCGCACGATCCATCGTCTTTTAGATGCCGCTGATGTAGACCACCATCTACTACCTCGCAAGCTCCGCGTCGGTGCTAGAGTAAACGACATAGCTCGTGGACACAAGTCCGCTGCAAGGATGCTGCCTCCGCGATGCCATCCCCGCTTGATCAGACTAGTTCCTTAAGCCATCATCGACCATAGGGCAAGACACCTGGTCGAAGAAAGATCTGGAGTTGGTTTATTCCGTGTCGCTGCCGCTGAAGCCAAGTTGTTGAACAACCAAAACCTAAACTAACAGAACCCTAAACGTATAGCTACACACAACCCAAACCTAAACGTATAGGTATACACATCCGCACGCGTGAGATCCCCCCCCCCACCCCACCAGCACCACTGCCATAGGGATGTCGCCACCGTCATGCCATCTGTGCTTGAACATATGTTGAAGAAAGATCTGGAGTTTCTTTATTCTGCCATGTCGTCACCATTACCGAAGCCAAGATGTCGAATGATCAAAACCTAAACTGTTAGAACCCTAAACCTATAGTTACACACGTCCGCATGCGTGTGATCCGGCAACCCCCTCACCACCGTCGACCAAGAGGTCGTCGGCGAAGGGGAGCCGCTGGGCGGAAATCTTGTCACCCTTGCGGCGGCTAGATCCCTTGTAGGGGAAGAAAGAAAACCCTCCCCGCCCTCCCGTCCTTGGATGATTGAGAAGAGAGAAGAAATGAACCGGACAATGATGCACATTAGAGGACAAGCAAAAGCGGGTAGCATGGGGCGGAGTAGAGTAGAGTAGAGTACATGATGAACAGGGCCCTGCAGGTATATGGTTCTGACAGGTTAGAGCAAGGCAGGAAGGAACAAAGGAGACGGAAAGGCTGCTGGCTGGCCGGTGCACAAGTGTGTGCTGTGCACCCACCCAGACGGAATGCAATGCCCATCAGTCCCAAAAAGGAAGAAAGAAAGAAAGAAAGAGAAGGCCCAGAGAGTTTAGGGCATTCATGTATGCACCACGCTCCAATGCCTGCCTGCCTGCCTGCTTGCTGCTCCAGTGCAGCAGCAGCAGGAAGAATCCATCTGTCTATCCCTTCCCGTAGGCCTCCACAAACTAGGCCAAATCGATCTACCATCCTAGCACGGGCACAGGCAAAGCTTTGTGCCTGTGATGATCGAGGTTGCAAGTAGCGGCGGACGGAGGAGCCGAAAGGGCAATGCCGGGAGGGCGAGCAGGCTGTGATCTGCGCCGCGCTACGGGTGTCCCCGCTTTAGCGCTACACGCCGCGACCTGGCGATTCCGTCCGGCGCCCCGTGGGAATAATGGGTGCGGTTCCGGCCGTGCGCGCGCGCGTACGAGTACGACGGTGGGTGGGTGGGTGTCGCAGCCGCAGCCGCAGCCGGAGCGGGCGCCGGATCTGGGTTCCGATCCGGCCGACCATATTCCGATCGCGCGACGCGACGCCAGATTCACTGCAGGTGCAGGCTCATCACGAGCTTTGGAGCTCGGACGGGGAAGAGCGCGTTGCGTTGCGGACTACATGCTCCCGGCCCGGCCAGATCATGCCTTCTCCCCTATCGAGTAGTAGCTCGGTCTCTTTGTCTTTGGGGATTATCTATCATTGCAACAACTTGACCCTAGGCCCTAGCCTTATCCTATCCATCTTTTTTTTTTTGAAGGGTATCCTATCCATCTTTGAGACGTACGTACAGTGGTTTTTCTTTCTTTGTTTCTTTCTTGACGATTGTTACTACACCAAACACCCAACTCGGGGTTTTCATTTGGGACAGGACTGGCGCACAGATTCTAGGATTTGGTTCGTTGCGTTGCCGACTCCGCCGCCCCGCGCCGTTATATCCAGATTGTGCTGTCTATCTACATAAATAGCTACTATAGGGCCATCTTTTTTGTTACATTATACGATAGGACGATCCTTTTTTTTTTTGCGGGGTTACCATAGGATGATCTGTTTTGATACTACTCCTATATAGGACAACAAACAGGAAGATTAGTGCTAGTTCTATTTGTTCACCGTTATCCTCTTTTTGTTTTCTTGAGAGAGAATGCTGGTGTTTATTGATCACGAAACATCGTTACAGAGAGTTTTTCGGGATGTGCAACATGAAAAGTTACATTGCGATGCGCCGAAAAAGAATCACCAGAAGAAACACACAATTGAACTTAAAAAAACATACAATTGCGCTAATACGTGAGCCGCGCCATTCAACAAAGGATTAACATGGCTAAAACTGCAAGGCTAGAAGTTGCCCGCCAACGGAGACTGAATCCTATGAATACGGCCATACAGCGCAAGATGAATTTGTGGAAAAGGATGAGCACCAACAAGAGGGTCCCACGATGACAATGACAAGACCTAGAATCAAAGACCATTTGCCAAAGACTCGAGTCATTCAGATCACCGTTGTTTCAAGATCTTGTTTTGGTTGATCTCATACTAACATTGTACTTGTCTGTATTCTCCGGTCATTAGTGTACATCAATAAATAGGACGTAGAGTTATTATTTCCCATCCAGGAACAATCAATACTATATTATAATTACTATATTATAATTGTATTTTTTAACACAGTACCGGGAATTTCGCATACTATATCATTCATGTGAAATTCTCGTTGCTAGATATATACGCACATACACTCATCTTTATAAACGCACACAGACACACCCTGTCTCTATGAGCACCTTCGAAAGACTGAGCCGACATATCATCTTGAGATTTTATAAAGCCACTGTAGGCGTCGCATCGCCGAAAATTAATCCAGTATAAAAGCGAGCATCAGGACTTGAACCAGCACTAGGGATACCACTGTCCACCTAAGAGCATCTACAGTTGGACTTGGCAAATCCGACCCCTCAAACGCCCGTAGACGCGCCCAGGCGTGTCCACGGATAGTGACCGGTCACGCCTCCGGAGACGTGGACCTAGATAAAACCATTACTATATTACAATTGTCTTCTACGTTATCCTTTCGGGCACCACCGTCCTCCTACTGCTCCTCACATAAGATCAGCAGCGAATCAATTATCGACACTAGACATGGTCACAAAGATCGGTTTTAGTCCACACGAGCCACAGAGACTCGAACAAAACCAGGCCTTCATAGCTGCTCAGATCAGATAGAAAATACGCACACCATCTCTTCTTTATCAAGAAGACGAGAATCCATCTCGAGACCATGCAAAAACTCAAATGGAACCATAAATCTATTGGACATTTTTACCTTGTTAAAACAAAAACACTGATACTTTATTATTGAACTTGCAAATTTTTCCTAAATCTGAACCATCAACTATCCGAGTACCAAAATTAGTTTGTGGCAAGAATTAGTATTAGTATAATATATAAAGGAAAATTGTCTTAAAGTTCAGTAGAGGCACAACGACAAATGGTAGTCATGTGATGTACAATAAAATTAAGGCAAACATACCCCTCAAATTATTATTTTCAAGGCAAACATACTTGAAAATTCCAGTACCGGGAACAATCATTCATGCGAAATTCTCGTTGCTAGGTTACAAAACTTCAGCACCACCGGATCCTACACAGTACACACACTTGTTCGGACAAGAAATCGGAACAGCCTTATGCAAACCTTGACGGGGAAGAAAACTGCATCTAGCTTATTTATGCCACTAATAGCTTAGCACAATGGTGTCAAACAGTCAGTTAATCGACGAGCATCAAAAGTTCACACGACAAAACAACAAAACAGAAGCTCAACATTAAATACAAAACAAACAGAAACGCAACACATTTCACTATGTCTTCTTCTACAGATAAGAACCGAGGATCGCATAGCCAAACTCCCCGGTCAAGCCCGCTTCTTCAAAATGCATCTTTGCATTGCCTGGCTTCAAAGATACACACGATAAGAACTTGCGAATACATGAACTGGGAAAATATCATGATGATTTAGAGGACTAGTCAAAATTAAAATTACCGGTACCTGAAAGTTGCTCATTCTGAAAGAGGCTTCCGAACCACAAAGAAGTACATCGGGGTGAAGATTTCCTTCCTGTAGATCTTGCTCATGTTACAACTCATTCATATACAGAGCATTAAACTGGAGGGAATAAAAGGACAGCACAGAGGGCGGTGAGGAGTGAGCTCCTGAAGTTGCACTACGACTGAAGCTCTCTGCAAATTATACTTTTCTCTTCCAGAAACGTGGTTCAGAGATGATAAACTTACTTGCCACCTTCGACAAGACCTTCCGCGGCCTTCTCTAAGAAACTAGAGACCCTCTGGCTGCCTTCCGGAGCCAGACCAACATATTCCAATACCTTGACCTGAACAACAATATCATAAGAGAATCTCAGCCAGACCAACATATTCCAATACCTTGACCTGAACAACAATATCATAAGAGAATCTCAATCTCATGTTTACGAATTTTCGCCAACCAAGCATCAAGGCATGGTGGAACCAGCTTTGGCTGTCATGGCATACTACGTTGGACAACATACAAGATGATCCGTAAAGCCTTAACTGTCTTATGGAGTAGTTACTACGAACTGAATTTGATTAAGTTCCCTAATCAAGCAACTCAGTGCATTACATGGACAGCAAATCACTTTAAGTATGTGTACAGTATAGGAATTTCCATAAACAATATTGCCATTTAAATATTGGGTAACATATCAATTTTATCGGGTATCAAAATCTTGATGTGTCAGATGCAAACAGTACCAATACAAATGACAAAGGCCAAGCAGCTGGACTATATATTTGTGTCCATGCCATATAGTTGTAGTTAAGAATCTAGCTTTGCTGTCACTACAAGAGGTGAAACTGAATGGTTTCCAATTTCTATGCAATTTGATACAAATTTACTGGGATGATACCTCTCATGATAAGAATTTAAAACCACATGACAGGATCCTAATCACAAGGAGGTCAATAGAACTGGTTAAATAGTTGTCAACCTATGGTCCATACAGTGCAGGAAAGTAGCACTGAGAGCAGATTTTGTGCAACTAGTTGTTCATATCTTGTCCTTTTTCTCTAGGTCACAAATAGTCATACTTTCGGATGAGATTTTGTAAATGCACAAAATATAGCATTATTTACATCCATGATTTATTTCATAATTTTTGGAAACTTGGAAAATATGGGGAAAAAAGTGGAGAGGATATGGGGTGCATGGGCAACTAGTTGCACAAAATCTGCTCTCCGGATTTGACTTGATTGTGCGGAACACAATGATAGCAAAAATAAAAGGATTCATTGCCTTACCATATTGCGAGTAATTATTCGTCCCACGGTAGTCAACCGGAAACTACTCAAAGAAAACCGACTTGGGTCCAAGGGCAAGTACCAAGGCAATGGAGAATCTTCAGCAAGATCCTTGTCCCAAATAACCTTCATGAATACAACATCATATTCATTACAGATCGGATGAAACACCATGATATTGAGAAGAAAAGAAATACTTGCAGTATTTCCTATTGCAGGAGTGGGGATTTCCACCCAGGTAAATCCTAGAAGGACATGATTAAACGAAAAGAGAGAAAGTGCTATGTCTTACCTCAAACCCAGCATCTTTAACAGCTTGAAGACATTGCCGAGTACTTCTGATATCTGGCAGGCCATTCCCAAGCTCAATTTCATCCTTAATCCTCTTGTGGGTTGCATTGTTTGGATCATAGTGATCGGTAATGCACCACTCATATACAGCAAAACACTGCCCGGGTTTTAATACACGGTAGATCTCCTTGTAGCAGCCAACCTGTGCAACAAAAAGGTCAATTCACCTTTATAAGATAGGACATAATGCCTCAATGGCATAAACAGCATCGAAAGAATTATAGAGTGACAGAGGTCATACCGGATCAGGTGCGTGGCATGTTGCCTCAATGGCATAAACAGCATCGAAAGTGTTATCAGAGAATGGCATCTTCATGAAGTCTGCCTGTATTTCAGAATAATATGTGGGTAATATAAGTACTGTTATTTAAAATCTTTTCCATATCCAGGAACTACATACAAGCATTGATCTTATACATTTTTACACAACTAATACGTGTCTTCATCAAATAAAGATTACTTTATTAAGGAGGTTGATCACATGTTCTAAAAGTCTGACACCTATCCCACCTAGGGGCGACCAGGTGGCACACCATCACCCGCCTAGCATTTTTTTGTAACCGTGAGCAAAGCAAATACAAAGATTTTTTTTGCCTACAAAAAGAGAGTGCGAGGAGCCGAGGACAATAACAGATAAAAAAAGCTAAACACAAAACAAAGTGATCTAGTGGGTAAGCCAACAATACCTTGACAAAATCACAAGTAGCGCCAAGTCCTACCGACCGATTAAGCGCCTGAAATACAAAGATCATTATTAACAGAAGAGTTATGTGATAAGTACACTTAATGGTGCACATTTAGCTGAAGTTATTAATCGCAGTCAACAGTAGAATCAACCAAAAAATAATGAGCATTGAACAACCTTTCCCCTAGTTATCTGGTAGTCGTTGTTGTTCAATCCAGTAACTGAGGTGGAGCTGCAGATAACGGTTGCCTGATCAGTTATTTCTGGCTGCAAGTATAATGTACTAAACTACTGATAATGAAAGATGACAAAGCCAATAATCCTTTTCTAACTTACAGATGCAGTTATACGTCTTCCTTAGGTTACAAACATAAGAGATAATAAGTATTAGTACTATTGGTGAAATGAAAATAAATATTGATGACTTCCTGGAAAGCGTTAAGTCAAACTTCTCTAACTTTAAATACAGTATTGATGTATAAATAACTGAGATTGGTGAAATGAAAATAATATCATTAGACTTTTCATCAAAATATTTCATAATTATGCAAGTTTTTTTATTACATTTTCATATAGAAAACAAAAGTCAAAGTTGCATCCTGGAGACCGTCACCATATCTAAAACATCACCGATTTTGGAATGGAGGAAGCAGTTAAACTGTTGAGTGGCTGATTACCATGATTTAACAACAAATAGATCAAGGCTGATACTAAAAATATTTTTGGTGCTATGCACACGATCATCTTAGTTTTCAACTTCTCCAAAGAAAAAGATCATGATAAATAAATTGAAAGGTAAATAATATCTAGATCTTCTACCCAAAATCATGCCACCACTAGTTCACAGTTCTAAGTAATAAAAACATGAATCACTTCAGATGCATTAATCGTGCATATGAGAATGTCTAAACCTGAACACATCACAATTCACATATATGAACAGAGGTGAAAGAGTGAAACAGGAATTAAACCTAAATCTCGCAATTTCTCTTAATGGCCCGCCTATTCCACAGCCGACATCCAAAACCTACAGCAAACATCAGGATATTGCATGTTCCATTATCATATTATGCTGCAGCAAGAGCAGCTTAAAAAGGGAAATCATTCTGCCATAGGTTATTCTATCTTCATAAGAAAACTGACCTTCATCCCTGGTTTCAACTCAAGCTGTAAAGCCAGAAAGTGCTCGTGCCTTTTGATGCTTTCCCTTAAAGATTCCCCATTCCACCTGAAATGCCAAGAGAGATGGGGAATTACAGTTAGCAATGTTCTTCTAAATCTTTTCATATAATTTTTTCTATAAAATCAAAATGATATAACTTTCATGAAAAATGAAAGATCAATTATGTATTCTTTCGATAAGAGTCCTCACCTGTGAGCAAAGTGGAAGGATTCACCCCAGCCATACTCATAGAAGCTAGTAGCAAGATCATAATATTTATTAACCTGGTAAACATCATAGTATTAGGTAGGTCCTGACATTCAAATCCTAGTTGGACATTATGCAGCACAGAAAATAGACGTGAGTATTCTAATGACATTGGATTATCAAAAAAGGACTGTAAATGGCAGAACCTAAACCTAAGAAGGTGCTTATGTATTTGTTACTTCAACCATCATCCGAAATTTCCTGCCTACTTAAGAAACGTTTTGGAGATTCTAAATCAGCTTTGAAAGAACACTGACCCTCTAATGACATTGGATTATCAGAGCTGCAGGCTAACAATTTGATTTATGTATGGTGAAGCTAATTACACTATAACAATCCATTCATGACAATAATCATCGTAGGCTAAAATAATAACTTGAGTAGGAAAGCATCAAATTTACAAAGCCATTCCTCCAAAAAAATAATATAAATAATAAACGTGGTGTTTGTTCATGTCCCGTATAAGATAATAATTATTACCATATCGGTGTAGTTGGATTTCCTCGATTCCTCCTTCCCTCCGTAGTATCCATGATATTTCTCATACCTTGTGAAAAAAAGATTGTCCGCAAATTAAGAGTAGGATAGGGAAAAAATAACTGGAGTGAATGAACATAAACAGTACTGTATAGGGAATGAAGACGCCGGCTAACAAGATTACACTCGGCAGATCCTACAGTGCATGCAGAGGCAAAAACACAAACATTTTGATGCCCCTTAAAAGAGTGTGCACATGTGAAAGGACGAGTTTAACATTCAGGCCTTTAGAAAAACATGACATGGTTCACAGGTTCAGGCCTTAAGACTACCACAGTGGGAGTAACATAGGTGGTAACATCACACTTACCTAGGCAAAATAGATGATGTGGCATGTAATTAATGAAGAAAGAGAGGCATGTGGTAAAATAGCTAGTTACTGTAACATCACACATATCAAGAAAAGATGAGTCTATAACCCAATAAATGAAGCTATGCAGGACACAACACATACCTAGACTGTGGAGAGAGGCATGTGGTAACATAGACTTTAAGTGCATGTTACTACTCTAAGTTACTCCCCACTGTGACTGACATGGTTCAGGCCTTCAAATAAAAATAAAATAAAACATGACATGGTTCCTAGGTAGTACAGTGGTAGGCACAGTTGGATGACTTGTAGTACTGTACTAGCACACCCAGGGGGCAGATAGCTACATCTTCCGATGTGCATTTAATCCACCAAAGACTTAAGCCAGGAATTCCAAGCCCATGAAGAAGCAGAGAATTATTATCCAACCCATGTATGGGTGCAGATTGCGAAAGGTAAATTAATGAGAGCCGCCCGCCAACTGGAAAAGGACGTGCCATGTGAGGGAGAAGAAAAACAGAGCACGGTTTTTCTCAGAGCAGAGCAGAGCAGAGAAGCTCCTGGTTGGTAATCCTACAATACAAACCAACCAAATTTGGAGCAAAATGTTTGTGGTTCATATGATTTGGGGCGCACAAATGGATGCTTAAAACTCCAGAGAGAGTGCCACAGCCCAGGCAGCACTGAACCTGAAGCAACGGTGGGCACTGGCCTGTGATGTGTGAGCTGGGCGGTGTTTAAGAGTAAAGGCGTGGAGCAGTTGGATCTAAGGTTTAGTCAGTATTCTGGAGTATGTACTAACTGTATCCCCAAATCCCCTTCTCCTGAAACCCAACCGTAATTCCCACTAAGTCCGTAGCACACAGGAAGCATGAAGAAGGTAGAAATCGCATCGGGTCAGCTGCTCCCGTGTCTTGTTTATTTATTTATTCCAAAAGGAAAAAAAACATCATCGAGCGCCGCGGAATATTAAAAGAAGCAGCTTGCCGGAATGGATCACGCCAACGGCAAGGGGGGAGAGAGAGACGTACTCGTCGACCGCCGATTTGACTTGTTCCTTGTCGATCTTCCCGCCAAGGCCCGACGCGAGATCCAGGGCTCCAGACTTGGACATGGCGGCGGCGGCGTCGCCTGCGACAGGGAGGGCCGGGCGGCGGCGGCGCTGGGCCTGACCGAAACAAAACAGAGAAATTGCAAGGTTCAGACTCGCTGCTCCGGATCGAAATCGAACAGGGCGGGATCGAGCGAGGCCGCCGACCTTGGCGGCGGAGAAACGGGTCCGGGGCGGAGATCTCGAGGTGTCGGGAGGAGGAGGACGGAGCTTCGAGCGGTATGGAGGAGGAGGAGGATCTGCCGGAGGCTGACGAGGGTGGGAGTGAGCGAGCGATTTGGCTGGCAGCGGATTACAAGTAGGCGGCCGAGAAACAGGACAAGCAAATGCCAGCCGAGCCTCCATTTGGATTCAGGATTCCCAATTTATTACTCTCTGATGCACATGCGCCGTCACTTCCGGCAGCATTTCGAATCAACGGGTTGGATCGTTCGGAAATCAGATCGGCCGTGTGTCAATTGTCCACGTCGCAGATTAACGGTGCTGTAAAAAAATTCATAAAAATGATAGAAACCAGTATAAGTTTCGGATGCGAATATAGGGCGAACGTTCGCTCCCTGTTCCTGCATGACGAAACATACTGTCCCCGGTTTTCGGCGCTTAGTACTACATCGCCAACCTCCTTAGCCTAAACTTGGACCCCAGAAAACCGAAGGAATATCCCAAAGGAAACCATGATTTCGATTCTACGCCAAATCTGAAAATCTACAAATTGTTTTGTGCTCCCGCCTACTATGCATCAAGTGAAATGGGTCATCGTCAACCTGATCCCCTCCCCGCCACACGCTGCTGCTGCATCCCTCCTCGCCAACGTAAACGACCTCCTCGTTGCCGTTCCATTGCAAGGCCACACAATGCAGAACGTGGTGGTCGGCGTTCACGATGCAGCGTTGTTTCGCCCTCTATGTCATCCCATCGTAGCGCCATGCCCATCAATGAAGCGCAATGCATTGGTTGGATTTGGTCACTGGTGTGTCTTTTCTTGTTCATGTTCACCTTGCATCGTTTGTCATTGAAACACCTGTGGCAAGTGATACCGACCATTACCGCACCACTTTAATTTGTCGACTTCCATACCGAGTACTCAAGGAAAAAAACTTGATAACATTGCCTTTGCCGGGAGGAGTCTAGCCTAGTCGCCTTTGCCGAGTGTACCAGTGATAAGAACTTGGCAAACAGTTTATCGAGTGTATTTTCACCCATAGCCAATGATTTTATTGTACCTGTAGGTTTCGCGTACATGGGCTCGATTTCAACGCGTACCTAAGCTCCGACAAGCTCCCAGATAGATCAGATTGCCGGAATCGAGAATGATGATCGATACTAAAAAAATGAATTATTTCTTTATTTGGGCCAACTAAGTTGCACCCTTGACCCATGTACTTCATATACCTTACTAAGGGAGCTCCCACTCACCCTCCGGCTAAACCAAAAAGATATCTCAGATATTTATATATTTAAATAAAACTTCAAAATTGTTCATGAATTAAAAAAATTCGTGATTCAAAAAAATGTTCATGTTTTTAGAAAAAATGCTAAAGAACTAAAAAAATCATGAATTCAAAAATGTTCTATATTGACGAAATGTTTGCCAATTTTGTAAATATTCATGATTTTATAAAATATACACAATAAAAAATTGCCCATGAACTCAAAAATTTTCCGTGAATTTTAAAATTGTTTGTGATTTCCAACATTTTCATGAAAATCTACAAAAACGTCGCCGATTCAAAAAATTTTCGTTAACTAGAAAAATGACCATGAATGTACAAATGTTCATGAATATAAAAAATATATTCATGATTTTCAAAAAGATTACATGAATTCTTTTTTACAAATATTAGAAAAAGGATTCTAAACTTAAAAATATTATTGAATTTACAAATATTCATATTTAATAAATAAGTTTGTGAAATAAAAAATAACGAATTAAAAAGTGAAAAAAAAACAAATGAGAAAAAAGATAAGAAAAAGCAGAAAAACAAAAGACCCAAATAATAGAACCCTAGACCTCCCGCGGTGTTTGCTCATCGCTAGCCACATGAGCTGATGAGCTTCAATGTTGAACTATCAACACCGACAAATCTAAACATTTTTTAAAATCTCAAACATGATTATATTTTGAAAAAGTGATATTTTTCAATGCAATCAATTAAAAAAACAGGGACAAATTTTGAAGGAGCATTCGAACACTTTTCAAAAATGTGATTTTTTCTGAATGAAATTTGAGGATGGGAACATTTTTAGAAATTTCCGAACAATGTTTAAAAATATGATCCTTTTCTCAATTCATGAACAAGGTTTGAATACACAAACATTTTTCAAAATTTTTGAACTGTTTTTCAAAATTGATGAACATATTTTGAAATTAATGAACTATTTTCCGTAGTTGATAAATTTATTTTGAAATCCATGAATGTTTTTCAAATTTGTGAATTTTTTCTTTCAAAAAATGATGAACTATTTTGGAATATAGATGAAAAGTTTTGAAAAAATTGATGAAGTTTTTCCAAAATTTTGAACTTTTTTCAAGTTCGTGGGTTGTCCTATTTTAGTGAATTCTTTTTCAGGTTCTCCATTTTCTATTTTCAAATAATTTACTCTGGGTATATAATATATGCCATATGCCATAATAAAAGGGTCAAATAGTACTTATTCCTGGTAACAAACATCAAGGCCAAGTTAGTCTAGTCGTTAATGTGGGAGTATGTGATGAGGACATCAATACCATTGTTACACCCATAGCCCCTACTGTTACATATACTGGACCAATTACTAGAGCTCGCGCACGCCAATTAAATTACCAGGTACTTTCGTTTCTTGGTAATGATTCTAATGTTCATGAGATTATGATGCTGCCTAAATTGGATACATTTGTTTTGCTTACAAATGAAGGGCCTAGCTTGGAGAAGGATGAACATTGGAGCAAGAACACGCATGGAGTTGATGGCATGCGCAAGGGGATCAAGAACGGAGTTACAAGTGATGATTTCAGGACTTTGAAGCCGCCATAAGGAGTGCATGAAGCCTTGGACGAAATATACAAGATGCCACTTCATAATATTCGTCCATAGGCTATTCTAGGTGCTGCATCACCTTATTAATGGGCCAGGCCCATGTAATTTCGAAATACTTAAGTATAGGCTATTTTTAGAGTCCATATGTGTGGGGAAACAAGAGTTATGGTTGGTTTCGGACCCCACCCTCAAGGGCCACGAAATTCCCCCCTCTTCCTCCATATATACAGCCCTTAGGGCGTCGTTTAGACTTTGGGTTTTGTTTAGATTAAAGTTCGCCATAGCTGCAACTTCGCGTAGTTCGTTTGTGTCCAACGACCAGACCAAGATGTCACAGAACCCCACCTTGATCAATAAAGCTTTCATCTTATATTCGCAATATCTCGATTGCAATCTCAGTTTCTTGCTTGTTCTTCGTTTGCTCGCAGGAAACAGACCCTCGTGGTCTGGTTGATCGTGCTCCGGCGTGGTCAATAACCCTCAGAAGTTGGTTTAGTGATTGCTAAGGCGCGACGTCTCGCACGTTCGTAGTCGGATCGTCAAGGTCGACTCCCACAGAAAACGATAGCCACCATCTCATTGAAACATCGGGACACCTTAGCCTCTATCAAGTGGTATCAGATTTCCAGGTTGCTCGGTGAGATTTTACAGTTTTTCATAGATTAGATCGAGTCTGTTCTTCATACCTACAGTCCACGAAAAAGCCAGAAAAAAAAATTAGGGTTAGTTCATCATATCTGAACCAATCTGAGCCTTTGCATAATCTTTTTAGGGTTTTTGCTTTGTTGAATTTGCGGTTGCATCGTCGTGTCAAGTTGCTGGTCTTAGAGTCTAGTCTTTTAGAGTTTCGAGTTCTGGTCATAAGTTGTCACGCCGCCGCCGCACCATCATCATCGCCCATCTACCACTTTTGCTTATCCGCCACCGCTCTGAATCCATATCCATATACCACCACCAATACGTATCCATATACCACTACCAATCTGTATCCATATACCACCACCGCTACCATATACCACCACCGCTGCCATATACCACAACCATATATCCACCACCAATCCGAGTTCTTCTCATATTAGGTTTGTTCTTGAGATCAATCTAAATTCTGATTCGTGTTTCCTTGCCTGCGTAGATCTCCGAAAAAAAAGAGGAGCGCAAAAAAAAGGAGCGCAAAAAAAGAGCGAAAAAAAAGAGTTCCAGAGTGTGCTTTTCCCTTATTTACGTGCAGCGCCGTGATTTTGTTAGTGTTCTAGGCTCGCGTCTCTAGCATGGTCTAGCCTAGGACCAGCACAGTACCGTCGTTGAGCGTTTATTCAACTTTGCATCTCTGAATTGATTATTGCTGACCCTTTTTGCTACCATATTATAAGCCTTCCCAGCTCCACATACATCTGCGTCGTGCGTTTGACTCTCCCTGGCAATCGCTCTATCCAAGCTTTTGAGAGTTTTGACTACAACGGTTGCCGATCACCGCCTGCTGCTGGGTAAGAACTGGTAAGAATTTGAGATTTGCTTGACGGATTTGTGACACCCGCCACTACCACCACTTGTTAGTAGTCTGTAGGATCATATTCTTGTGTGCTTCTATTGCTGCTAACCATGCTACGATCACAAGCCGACGAGACTGATTTGGAGAACTTGACGAACAAGGAGCTTCATGATACGTTTCAGCAAATGATGAGTGGACAGGTGCAAGATGTGATAAACAGATTTGAAGAGGCCATGGAGAAGATAGATGGCATGGAGAAGACGTTTGAAACAAAGCTCGATAACAAGTTTGCTGAATTGCTTTCGTGTTTTCCACCACCACCACCGGTTGCTCCTGTCGCATCTCTGCAACAACAGCAACAACATCGACTACCTCCACGTCGGGAAACAACCCTCCGCCGAGCGAGCCATGTCCCTCTTCAGTCGGGCCAAACTGCTGGTGCTGCTGTTGATACTTCTGTGGCTCCTACTGCTGATGTGGAGGAGGATGATTATGTGGGAGATTATGAGGATGAGGTTGATCAAAATCAGAACTACGTGCCACCACCAGCACAGCAACCACCAGGTCGTCCACATGCAAATAATGGCAATGATAGGGCTCACCCTCAGGTACGAGATCATGACCATCTCCCTAAACTAAAATTGAATATTCCACCATTTGAGGGTAGATATGTTCCTGATATATATCTTACTTGGGAGTTAGAAACTGAACAACGATTTACATGTTTACAATATCCCGAGGAGAGACGTGTTCCTGCTGTTGTTTGTGCATTCACTAGTTTTGCATGTGTTTGGTGGTCTGAGCATTGTAGATTATATCCTATTCCGGCTACTTGGGCT